ATTCCACTAAATCGGAATAATTTGCCAAATGTAGCCATTTCAGCCATCTTTAATGTTTTAATTGCTGTTAGAATCATTACAGGAAATATATTCTGTGAAATTGCCTGGAAATCCAAAGCTTGGTGAAGGGAAACCTGAAAATCAAAATCATGCTATTATATTTACACGTGGAAATGCAATACAGACCATTGATATGAATCAGGTGACTACTTGTCTTTATATTGATATTGACCTGAATGTTATTTACAGGGCAAATTGATAGTATATTTTTTTATTTATTTCTCTTTGTATGTGGACAGGATAATTACTTTGAGGAGGCTTTGAAGGTGAGAAATCTTCTTGAAGAATTTTACCGTGACCATGGAGTTCGCCCCCCTACTATTCTTGGTGTTAGGGAGCATGTGTTTACTGGAAGGTATGGTATTAGAGGCATTTTATCCCTTATAGAGTTCATTTGTTTAGGCTTCTGACTCTTTAAACTTGGCAGTGATTGTTACCTACTGGTAGCTATTTTTATCTACTTCCCTACTGGTAGTGCTTTTTACCTACTGGCAGTCATTTTAAAATTCTTACCTACTGGTAGGAATTTTCTTTTTTTAATAATTTGTTTCCAGTTTCCTTTTAGGCTTCTGGCAGTGATTTTTTTGGTCAAGTTTCTTTTTTTCTTTTTAATTTATTACCTTTATCTTCATAGTTACTATACAAAATTTATAACCTTCATATTTAATTTATTACCTTTATTATATGTGTGTGTGTGTTGTGTGTACATATATATACATACATGTATGTATGTATGTATGTATGTATGTATGTATGTATGTATGTATGTATGTATGTATGTATGTATGTATGTATGTATGTATGTATGTATGTATGTATGTATGTATGTATGTATGTATGTATGTATGTATGTATGTTGAGTTGTATTGCAGCTAAAAATATTGTTTTTTTACAAAACCAAGGTTCATGGTATTGTTTATAGTATTTAGATTATGAATTTGTTAGATAAAAGGGGTTTGCTTCAACATATGTTATACCCGAGTAATACTTAGGGCTTGTTGATACATATTTTATGGAATTTTGGGAGTAAGATATCATGTTCTGTATATCACAGTGGCACTTCGATCATAGACATCTGCAGACGGCATCTAAAGAGTGATAGAAGTAGGTAAAGTCATCATGCATGCAACTATAAACCGTTGTTTCTAAACATGTTGGAAGGAATGAGCAAGTAGGTAAAATCATACATCTATCAATCCATTTGTACGACTGTACGCTGTGTTCTGTTTATAAAAGCCAAAATTGTATTTGTAGGGAACTGCCCAAGACTGCATTTCGGGCTTAAATTCATTTGGTAACA